GAAAGGCAAACTGATACATACCTAGACACTTCCACACTGTTTGCAAATTCTGACCGTTGGGACACTTATGTGGTGTATGTGGGCCTCACCTAAACAGACTGCCAGTCATCTGGTTTGTGTAAAATAGACTCTGCTAGACCCAAGGAGGAAACCGCCAAGATAATCTGACTTTCACTTGAACCATATTGAGAACAGGACCTGAAGAGTGAAAACCTTTAACATTAACTATTGCTTTATTTCAGTGAAATAGTACATCATGAGTTGAAACAGTACACTGGATTAAAAATGGTCAGGTAAACCAAATGGGCTTTGGGTAGTATACATAACAGAGGGCCTTAAAGTGGATTTTTTTTAGTGAACAGTGGCTGAAGTTTTAGTTTCATTAAAGTACCATGAACTCATAACAACTCATGTTGAGCCTGTAGGTTTCAGTACCAAATTTTTTATATGGTTGCCTCACAAGATGCCCTTGTTTGCTATAACAAGTCAAAAATTGTTCTGTTCTTAACAATTATATTTTTGAGTAATATGTTTTTTTAACTTTTAAATTTAGTTGCTAAAATAAAACAGTTCCCTGATAAATCAGAATACCTGATTATAATTTTTATTTTTTTTTTCTTTAAGGAGGAAGGCTAGTGGGGAGTTCAGAAAGCTCATTGACATCACAAAGCACAAGGTGATTTCATCCTTTGTCCAAATGACACTGGCTGGTAAAAACATCAGTTTTAGAGGGCTACTCAGGAGAAGAGCGGGTAAGTCAGGGTGTTTCCAAGTGTGACCGCAGGGGAATGATACCCAGGCTAGTCACATGGGTTGCTTAATTTCCATGTATGCTGAGCCCCACGACTTCAAGGCTCGGCGGCTTCCTCCTTCATGGCACCAAACCTTGATGTGAAGGATGCAAAGATATAAGAACGATGGGTTTGTGGTTTGAATTTAGGGGCCTGGCTAACAAGACCCCCAAATAAAAGGGGTGTTGTGTATTAACTGTAATGCATAACAACACATAAAATGAAAGAAAGAGTTGGGATTAGGTTTAGACAATGCAGGCCATAGAGATCAAACATTTAAAAGTAAATTATGATGAAAACCAGTTGACCTTAACTTTTGTAATAACAGGGGCATCTGTCACATCTTTGGAAAACGGTTTATGCATCTTTTTGCGTAGCTGGCTTAGTCATAAGGATGCTCAAATGTGGGGTTCCCTGTGTGCTATCTTAAGTCAAGGAAACCATAGATGACATCAGTGAGAAACTCTGGGCAAGTCTTAAAAGTCTTGATGCTGCCCTGGGGATGCCCACAGTCTGTGGGGACCACAAAGGGCCATGTGGTGATTTCTGTCACCCAGGTGAGCTGAAGTTAAAAACCACATGGAGTGAGCCAGGCTTGGGCATTTTTAAAAAGAAACCATCAGAGATGGGTGGGGTAAGAAAGTTGTTGTCTAGTTCAGCTTTTCCAAAGTGGAAGATTGAGTGATGAGGTAAAGGAAGTTTGTTCTTCCTTGGCTAGAGACCCCTCCTCTCACCCTTGTCCCTTCTGACCATTGCTAAACAGCTTTGTCCAAGAGAAGGGGAGATGACAAATAAGTGAAACCGTGCCAGAGTTAGCTATTGCCAGGAAACACACACTCTGATTCAGCTCATTTGTTCTGTTAATGTCAAAGGCTGCAATCTCCAATTAACTAATTTTAAGAAGCGGTAACTGAAAATAGCTATGCTAACTCTGAAGTTGGTGTCTGCTGCTGATTGGGATCTGCAATTAAGAGAACCGGGAGTCAAAAGAGGTGGTGCTGGCTGCTTGAGACCATCCTTCTAAACAAAGAGCCATGGCTGGGGTGGATTTTCAAACAGGGTTTTGTCCTGTCAGAGAACTTGAATAGCGATAGTCAAGTCATGAAAAATTGTCCCAAAGATCACGGATTTGTGTACACTCAGCTTACTAATGACAGAAGCATCCGTGCTAGTGGGTCTCTCTGGGATGCTCCCCAGTTCAGGTGGAATTAATTAAGACAGGCGTGCAGTGTGCAGTATTTCCTGCTCTCCCACCAGAACAGCCTGAGAAGCTGAGCCAAAAGATGACTCTACCACCTCTCCTTTTACATTGAAATGGAAATCTACAGTAAGGATGCTGGTTAGAAAGACAGTGCAGTCAAGGTTCCTGTGTAATGCTAGGGCTCTGAAATACAGTGAAAGTAAAAGTCATGATTACCGGTTGCTAATTCAAAGTAGCAGGAGGAAAAGTTTCCGGGCACACACTGGAGTGGCTGAGTCTTTTGCCTCTAGAAGTTTAGTTTATTGCCTTTGTACTACTAAAGGTCAGCAGGGAAACAGAGGGACACCTTTTTTTTGCTGTCATGTTGAGTTGCTGGTTGAAAACGAGGAAGGTCCCTTAAGAAAGCAAAGAACTTCAGTGTGTGGGTGGGGTGGGGAGGAATCAGATGTTGTCTTTGAAAAGCTGAGCATTATTTTGATGGATAGGGGGACATCTCTATTTTTTTTTCTTTTTAGAGAAAATGAAAATGGAAGCAAATTACGGAAGAGAATATACAGTTCTTCATTCTCTCTCTTTTGAAATCTTAAACCCCATTTCTGGCTTGCATTTGGTAGGATTCCTGCTCTAGTTTTATTAAAAACAGACGTGTGTTCAGAATCTGCCATCTAAAGCAAGGCTTTAACAGGCATCGGGACCCTGACCGGCCTCCAGCTCGGCTCAGGTAGCTCCCACCACAGGGATTCCCTCCCAGCTTGCTTTCCTGGCCTCAGTCTCGAGAGTTCAGCACAAACTACCAGCCTTTGCTCTTTCAATTCAAGCTCTGCATTTCTGTTTTAGATTTGGAGCGGTACACAAAGCCAGATCAAGTTAAGTCTGGCTTTAACTTGAGAGAGAGCATTCTAAAAATTTTGAATAGCTCAACTGTTGTTCTACAAATTCCCAGATGAGGGAGGGCTCCTTAAACCTGGTGGCGCCCCCTCCCTGGCAATTCAGCATGACTTACTGACTCCCACCCTTCTGACTGCATGCAAGCTCAAAATACCAAAGCTAAACTTCATGCTGCTCAACATTCGAAAGCTGATTTTAGCATCTGAAAGCTGATTTTTTTTCTGAAGAGCACTGGCAAGCTAGCTTATTGGAAACCAAGAAGAAAAGCAGTCAAGCGAGCAGGCAAGACTTGCACACCCATTCCTGAGCGCAGCCCTGCCACAGGTCCCTCTGGCTCCTTCTCGTAGTAAAACAGACAAAACAGAGTTCAAGGCTCCTTGGGGACTTTGCCTTCCCACTCTCACATCCCCTCCACCCCTTTTCCTCACAGCCTTCATACCATCCTGGCACAGAGGCAGACACTTTCCCAGTCAATCTGAGGTTTTCTAAAATAAACTTGATCTTGCTCGTAGCAACATTCAATGTTGAAATGCCCGTTTTTGATATATTAAGGAAATTCTTCTGAACACTGCCAAGCAGTGGTTGATGAGCAGAGTGGGGCTTTGCTTCCCTGAGGGACAGCAGCCGGTCTGGATTTTCAGTGGTCACAACTTGGAGGAAGATACAACTGACAGCTAGTGACTGGAGGCCAGTGATGCTGTGAACCATCCTCTAGTGTACAGGAGAGCAGCCATAGCTGAAATGTCAGACTCTGAGGGACACCGTGCCGGCTGAGCCTGGGCTCTCAAGTCAGGCTGCTAACTAGGGATTGGAGCCTGATGGAGTGGCACTGGGCAAGCTGTTTTACCTCACTGTCTACCTGCAAAATGTAAAATACTAGTCTATTTTATTGGATGTATGAACCTTAGATGAAAAAGGTATAGGTGAAAGCTTATAGGACAACACATATTGAGAGCAAAATAAATACTACTAGAAATTTAACTTGGTTTCAGACAAATCAGAAGTCCAATAGTATTGTCTCATCTCAAGATCTGAACCACCAGACTGCATTTCTTTGCTTCCTAGATCAGAAACTTAGATCTTGGAGGTGAATGAGTCACCCACTTCAAAGCCAAGTTATTCTTGTATACCTTTTATTTCCCAGTTTGGGGTTCTCTTTCCTCTGCATTACCCCTCAAGCCTTGAGGATCAAATACAAACACCACAGTTACAGAGGTGCACCATGGGTGAGTGGATAAGACTGTGTGTGATAGACATAGTCAGATTTTGTTAAACGGGGCACATGAATATTCTTATTCTCTGAATTAAAATGTTTAGCTTCATGCATGGGATACTTTTGTCTTTAAATTTCCTGTTTCTGTGGGATAAAACTCCATAGTACCTTATATCCTTTAAAAATGCCAGAAATAACTGTATATTGACTACTTCAAGGTAAGAATATACAACTTTAACTCAGTATGTTTCAAGTTCTATTACTGATTAGTTTATGTTGTCTGACAACTAGACCAGAAAATCTGCTTAGAATTGTCAAAATTATTCAATTGCCCAGCAGTCTATCTGATATATAATCCTTAGGTCTATATTACAATCTCTGTAGAATTTAAAACAATTGCAGATTAATTGGCTAGACTATACTTAGTTTACGCTAAGGTTAGTGATATTGGGGTCAGAGTGCAGAGGGTAGATGGATAAAGTTCCTTGAGTCAATGGTTTTCTAGATTTCTTTGGGTAATGGAGAAGGCAAGATCTTAGCCCATGCATTTCTCATGACCTACACACAGCTTGCCACAACTCAGTCACAGCTGTTTCTTCCAAAGTCCTGGGTCAGGCACTGCCACCGGGCTGGTAAAATGCCACTTACTGGGTCCCATTTACTTTGATCTCAAAAATGAGACACTCAGATCTGTGCCAGTTGGTAAATGAGAGGATCTGATGATCACACAAGGTATCTTAATGGGCTTAGGCACCGCTATTTGTCTTGTGCTCACTGTGAAAATTGCAAACATATATAGTAAAATGTTTGCAAAGCTTTTTGGTTTTTTTTTCAAATAAATGTTGTCTGTTTCAATGAGAAGAGAACCAAGGAGGATCTTGGGGAACCTGCAGCATAGCTTACTTACCTTGGAACACTGGGCGGTGCCCTCGTGGGCCTGGACGGAACTTGTGGGGGGGTTCCGAAGGAGTCGCTGCTGTTGGGAAAAGGAGGTAATGGGCCAGGGCGGAAAGGAACTGGGGGAGCCCCAGAGTGGGGACCTGGAGATGGAATGGCAGGGGCTGGTCCACGGCCAGATGTTGGCCTGGTGAGGGGAGCACTTAGAGTTGGCCGCCTTTGGGTGGTAGGGCTTGGAGGAGGTGACCTGAAAGAAGAAATGAAGTTTTCATTTGTGCACTCTTCCTTCTTTTAATATTTATAAAAAAGTTTTGTAATTTCCTGACTGCTTTTTAACATTAACTTATTTTTAGCCATATAACTTAGACATGTATTATAAGCGGTATACATAAAAGGGTAAGTGGAGACTTTGGTTTCCTTCCCCACTCTCTAGAGACAATTAATACCAATTGCTGGTGTTTCTTTTAAACATATGAGGTATGTGAATATTTTCTCTTTTGTGTGTATCATAACTTTCTTTTAAGCTTATCTTTCCATTTGGGGAAACTCAGCACTATTTTACTCTTTTAATGACTATGTGGTGGTTTGAAAGAAAATGTTCCCCAGAGGAAGTAGCACTATTAGGAGGTATGGCCTTGTTGGAGGAACTGTGTCACTGTGGGGGTGGGCTTTGAGATCTCTTTTGCTCAAGCTTCTTTCAGTGTGACACAGACCATTTCCTGTTACCTAAGCATCAAGAAATTGCCAGCACCATGTCTGCCTGCATGCCACCATGCTCCCCGCCGTGATGATAATGGATGGAAACTCTGAATTATAAGCAGCCACCTTAATTACATGTTTTTCTTTTTAAGGGTTGCCATGGTCATGGTATCTTCTTTACAGCAATAGAAACCCTAACTAAGATAGCCTATCAAGTTTCATTGTAAAGATTCATCAGGCTTGTTCATGAAAAGAGTTGTTGATACACTTTGACTCCTCCTCAACTTTTGCTTTTGGGTCCGTATTGGCTCTGGAAGGCATCCTTACAAACAGAGTAGACAAGCTCAGGAGAGCCCAGGTGCTATGGTACTGTGGAGCACCATACCTTCGGGAATGCTGGAGCCAGGAGTCATCTACTGGAGGTGGGGCTGGGGTTGACACAGTGGCTGTGTTGATGTCACCAATAATCACAAGGGCTTCTTTCAGGGCCTGGTACATTCGGAGCATCTCATCCCGGCGTTGAGCCTGCTCAGCAGACTCTTCCATCAGAGTGTTTTGGTCCTCAGAAGAATATAGTTGTGCTAGGAGCTCAGAGTTGATGAAGTCTTTAACCTGTAAGAAAAATTAAAATGAGAAGGAATAAACACAGACTCTGTGGAAATAGCCCACAAATGTGTCCTGCCCCTGAGAAAAGGGAAATGCCATACAACTAGTTTATTTGCTACTGTATTGGTAAAGCAGAAAGTTTTACCCTCTACCTTTGTGTTTCAGAACAATGATAGTAAGATACCTGAGGGGAGGTTAGACCTCTCTTCTTGCTACCACAAGAGTAGGGCTCATTAGCTCTGGGAAGGTTTCATGAGGTTCTCAGAGGATATTTGGTTTATATAACAGAAAGGTCCTGTGAGGTAAGCAGCATTATTTTCTATAGAAAATGGTAATTCAAAGAAAGCTTTGAAGTTCAACAGTTTTTCTACTTCTCAGCATTCCTAATCTTTTAGTGAGATTTTTCTTATCAAAATAAACAAACATTATTGAAGTTTTCAGGGTTTACGAAGAGTAAAATTAGTATGGATAAGTGGATATTAAATACTGATAACTGCATATATATGCAGTTATATATATGCATATATATGTATGCAAGTTGATTTCAAGCAAAGTAAAAGAGATACATTTGTTTTCTAGACGTTTGCAAGCAAAGTAAGTTAATGGTGATGAAGACTAGATATGAGGCTTCATAGATACAACAGATACATAAACAGTGCACGTTTATTAGTTGAGCAGTATCTTGTAGCAGGAGAATAGAAAGGCACATAACTCAGAAGGAGAGAGGACCAGCCTCCATGCTTCATCAGATCTAGGCATCAGCCAGCTACTTTATATGTCACTAAGGAGAAAACATCAGCTAAATCTATGATAAAATGTCCACGTATCATTGAGTATAAATGCATGTTCATACTAAATGTGTGAAAATGAATGTGCAAATCAATGAATTCCTTTAAAAGTTATATGATTTAATTTATCTCATAGTGATGAAATAAAACTAAAACTTCACAGATGCAGAAACAAATTTAGGGAGTGTTTCAGTGACTCTTCCAAGGTCATACAGTGTAAGGTCAACCTAAAATCTTTTAACTAATGCTAATTCAGTTTCTTGAAAACATACCATTTCATCTTCTCTCTCTCTCTCTCTCTCTCTCTCTCTCTCTCTCTCTCTCTCTCTCTCTCTCTCTCTCTCTCTCTATCTCTGTGTGTGTGTGTATTTCAAGACAGGATTTCTCTGTGTAGCCCTGGCTGTTCTGGAACTCCCTTGCTCTGTAGACCAGGCTGGCTTCAGACTCAGAGATCTGCCTGCTTCCTGAGTGCTGGAATTAAAGATGTGTGCCACCATTGTCCGGCACTTTGCCTTCTTATCTTCATTGTTGTAATTCATGGCCTTTTGCCTAAGTGTACACATCCACCACTGAGCTATACCACCACCTTCACATTGATTGTTTAGAGCAGCTAGCAAGTATGATAATTAAACCAAGAAAAATAAACCAATTTAAGATTTTCAGTTCTTTCTTCTGTTATTTGAGAGAGCTACATCTTATCTGGATTACTTGTATCTGGATAAAATGCCAAAGCAAGAGTATTTGTTTAAAATTCAGGATGATGACAGGATTGTTACTCAAGTGAGAAGATTCTAAAACAGTTTCATTTTTTAGTGGATTTTTAAAAAATTTAGAACACTGGAAGAGAGTGAAAGGGCAGGACTGCAGATAGGTTGGCACCCACAGGTGAAGTCAGTGGGTCACATGAGCCTGGGGGATGGCAGATCTTCCTATATTCTTCTTTGTGTAGCACTTGGGTATGTAGTTCATACCATTGGAAAGAAGGCAGTCCAGTTTAGCAGGTATACAATCCTCAGATATTAGCATGAGCCACTCACTTTGAGTACAACTTCCAGTCCTAGTCCAAGGCTAGGATCACAGTGGGCTGGGTTGCACACATCTCTGTGGTGTCATTCCTGTCTGATCTTCATGATTTCCTGGGAAGTGTGGGAATTTGCAAGGACAGACTGACTCAGAATACGTGTTGATGAGCCTTCAAGATGGTAGATAAAGACATTTGCTGTTCAGTCTCAGAACCTGAGTTTGATTCCTTGGTTTCAGACAATGGATAGAGAGTAAGGACTTGATTCCTTGCAAATTGTCATTTGGCAAGAACACTATAGCATGGTGGGTGAACACACACAAAAAACACAACCCAAAATGGGAAGACAGATAACTGGTTGACCTCATTATTTGCCCAGAGTGAGCAGAGACTTTAAGTCCAGCTTGGGGAAATGGTGGATTTTATTTCTTGAGAGGAGAGGAAAGGGAAGACAAGAAAGAGGACCAGTTTCATTTTTTGGTGGGGGTAAAGATTTCAAATATGTAGATAATTCTATTTGTAACAGCATCAGCAGACTTAGTCTTATTGTGGTGGAATCAACAGAGTTCCCTGCACAAATTTTGTAAACCAAGAATGATTCAGACATGGGAGAGATTTGATTACACTGTATTCAGGGGACTGGTTGGTGGGTGTAGAAGGTGATTTTGATCAGTAAATCTAGGGCAAAATACGAACTCTGGTACTAACAAAAAGTGTTTAAACTTTTATCTCTTTGGCAAGATGACACCATGAAAGTCTTTTGACAAGTGAAGCAAGGTTTTAGAAAAATTAATCTGGTTTTAACAGGGAAAAATTGCAGGCTTAGTAGTAGAGACAGACTCAATAGGAGATGATTGTTTACTCATGGACAGATGAGGATTTATCAGTGCCACAGGATGGAAAAGATGGGCACATGTGAATAACATTACATAGGAAAAATTATCTGCTGGTGTCTATGTGAAAAGGGTGAGGAAGAACCACTGAGAGACGTCTCTGGCATTGATAACTGAAAATCAAATGGCAAAAAGGAAAATCAGATTTTCAGGAAAGGTAGAAAATTTGGCCTTAGAAATATTTCATGGTCTTTGAAGATTTAGTCTCTTCTAAACACACATGCAGGTACCCATGGAGGCAGAGACATTTGCACAGACCTTCCTTTGTGGGGTGTGTTTGTATGCACTTGGATACAAGGTGCAACTTAAAACTCAAAACCAGATGATTTCCCTGGCATAAGTCATCAGTACGGTTGAGCTATTTTGAAGCTTCAAATCTTGCTGGAGTATCACTTAGGAGCTATTAAATACAATTTTAAAAGATGATCCAAGAATAATTCTGAAGCAGATCTGAATTATGAATCAACAGTTCAATTATGAAATGAAATAATAAGGAGCCCTGATATTACACACTGAAGCTTACCTGCTGTCCATTATTCTTTCATTTGTCAATGTTCTGAAGAAATGATGGTTGTTGGTGAGAGGAAAGACATGTTGCTATTGTTTTCCCTGTAAGTGGGCTATATTGGCATTGGGCAGATGGAGGCAGGGAACTACAGAGAGCTACATGCTTAAAGACCCAGAATGGGTTAACATTTTATTTTGGATGTAAGAAAAAGTTTAGGCTGTCTTCTTGGTAGCCTAGCTTAGACTTGCTATTCAATGCAACAACTAGATTTTGGAACAACTCCAGTTGATGGGGGTGCGAACAAGCAGGGGTTCCAGACACTTTGGGGCTTTCTGAGCTGTTTGGGCATCAGTGCCACAAGTATTCAAGGACTATACAACACAATTAGATACCCAGTGGATCTCTCTTAGGTGATAGCATTTGGAAAATACCTCAGAGAACAGAACAGACCAACTATACTTGGATGGGTGACTTGGAACAATATTTATGCTTTTAATTATAACACCTTATAACCTATACATCTTTGTGTGGCTCACAAAAATTCTCACAAAATCCCATTCCAGCTCAAACTCTGCAGGCTAAATAAACAGGCATTACCACACCATGTCCCACTGCTCAGTGTAAAGGAATGTGAGGTCATTAAAAATGTTCCACATGTTTTCCTCCTTCTAACTTTTAACCCTTCCCTAGTCCCCTGGAAGATGTTTGCCGCTTATCTTAAATTTTCTTTGTTATGACTGAGCCATTTTAACACCATCACCAGGAGACAGTTTGGTTGCCTGGGAGACCATTTCCAACAGGATAGTCTCTCCATGAAACAGGGTTATTTGGTTGCTCACATGTATAAAGTTTTTCACTAAGTAATTTTATTTTGTTCATTTGGGAATGTGACACTCAGGTCATCATCCTCCCACCTCCCTCCCCCGGGCCCCAAACCCTTTGGTGGATTTAGTTCTGTCCTTTTTCTTCTGCAAAATACAACATCCATGGACTCAAAATGCAGACAAAGGAGGTCAGAAAAAAATGCACAAGCTATGAGATCCAAAGTCCAGAGATGGGCAAAATATAAGAGTGGGCATGTTCCAAGGAACGGGGAGCCTCTTGTGAACTTTTTTGGGTGTGTATGTGGAGGGGCAGATACTGTTTGTCTTCTACAACTGGATCATAGTCTAAATGATAGAATAATGTCTTGGCATGAAGGGCATGTTTTAAAACTAGGGCTCATAATACTACTTTTCCACCAAAGAGTGGATGACAGGAGGGTCATGGTGGACATGTAGGGGCCTTAGGGACTCAGCAGCATCACTCCAAGTGTGAAGTGACTCTGGATTTCATGACTTCAGTGTTTTTTTTTCTTTAAGGAATTCATTCTACTTTGTATTCCGTGAGACATGATGTTTTAAGATTTAAGCCATTGTTTCTCATGTTCAAATGAACACTAATTAAATCTTTGAGTCATAGGAACTGTCCAGGGAGATCACCCTGTGGTGATACTGGGTAGGGCAGAAGCTCTCTCAGTAGGTTTGAGTTCTCCTTCCCAACCCCATGCACCTTCTCTGTTGCTGGATTAGAGACAGCATCAGAAGGAGGATAAGACCCTGAGATCCCCAGCTATGCAATCTTGGGCAAGTCACTTAACCTTTATGTGCCTCAGTCTCCATGTATAAGACGTGAAGGACAACAAATGTGCCGGGGGTTCAAACAAAATCTACCCACCCTACACGGGTTCCCTCATTCCGTGATGGAGCACTCCCCGTGGGGTGAACTATGGGGGAGACACCATCATCATGGGACATTATGTGTGCTAGTCTTAAAGTCCTACACAACTTTGCTGCTGTGACTTTAACTTGTGGCTGCCTGTCATAAACTCCCTGCTCCTTTGTGCCGCCACCGTTACCTGGTATGTTTAAGCAGTGAAACAGCTGCTGGGTTTCAATAGACAAAGGCTTACAGTATGTCTCAGGCCAGGCATTTATTGCCTGGCTTTAAACTTCTTAAACAATTCCATATGGAGAGCTGAGTGGCAGAACACTTAATGTAAACTTTCAAAGGAAACTGCCCACTGAATTTTATGAAACTGGCTGAAACATATTCCTTTTCAGGAGGCGCTGGATCGCCATTCCCACTTCAAGGGTGAAAGGCCACAGGCCGGGACGACAGAGAGAGCCCATCTTCAGCATGTATTCGTTCTGATGGAATACCAATTTACAGAATAGGTAGAATTTAGACTTTTGCTAGTTGTGATTCTATTACCGACTCTCTTGTTTTATTAGTTGAAACGGAATTTATAAAACCTAGCTTTCCTACATGAAATAGGGCTGTTGATTTATTAGGTCTGTTTCTTTGTACTTAACAGGACACATCTGGAATGAACAGAAAGGCTTGGGCATTGAAATGCCATGAGAATGTAAGCACATTGTTTTAAGAAGGTTTCATTCTCTATTTGAAAAAAATATACATAATTTGGAAGCATGTATTATAGATGCAAAGTTTTTATACATACGAAAAATAGAGGCACAATAATAAGAAAAGTCATCATTGTAGGTATCTGCCATTCATTTCTGGTAGACGCAAAAGCTATACTTCTAGCAGAGATCACCATCACTTCCTAAGAATATAGCCCGTCATGATAGTTGGTTTTCTCCATGCTCCTCTTAGTCTCTGACCTTGGAGTTCAGGTCTTAATTGAAGTCTCCTTTCCCATGACTCTTATGTGAGGTCTTTCTCAAGATAACTGGCAGAGCTCCCCCCACACCCTGAGAATAATATTCTATGGTGGGTGTTTGGGCATTTCATTAAATCAAGCAAAGTCGGCAATGAGGAGTTGGGGAAATCACAGTTACCCATGTGCATGTGTGTTGTATGTTTTCATTTAATGTTTGAGGTGAAAATAGAATAGATTTGCAGCAGGAATTTTTTCTTCTGCCTTTTAACTAATTTGTGTCAAACTACTTCTCAGAGCCACAGACAGGAAGCATGATTTCCTGTGCTGATGATTTAATGTAACGCAGAGCAAAGCAGAGCTGGAACTGAAGGCAGGACTAATGACTCTTGGTAAAACAGTGGAAAGATAAATGATCCCTAATCAGGAAAATGTTTAAATAAGCAAGTGCCTGATATACCACAGCAAAACAACCTGAATTCATTTACGCAAAGTTAAGAGGGTAATTTTCAAGACACACAGACTATTTGTTCAGTACTTCAGATTTGTCTAAATAGCTGGCAGCCACATCTGTCACATTGTCTGATGGTTCTGTGAGGTCCCTTCACTTTCCCACTGAGCTTCCAGAAGTGACTGACTTTAGCTCAGTGGGGCTAAAAGGCTGGCCTTCAGGGCAGACAGATGACCCCTGAGCAGTTATGGTGATATTTTTAGTTTCAACTTTTCCAGCTCATTGCTTACCTGCTACTTAGACGTCAAAGCATCCTGTTTATCTTCCTTGGATACACAAAAATAGGCATATATAAGATCGGTTGCCTGAGTGCTCAGAGCTTCTTAAAATCAAGGCATATACAACTAGAGGTTATAGACAAGCAGACTGCCATGAAGAACTTTAGAAATGAACCCTGAGATACAGAGAATGATTACTAGACCTTAAACAGGCAGCCATGTTAATTACTTACACTTGCCATAGTACCTTGGCATCCCCTATCCTTCCCTTCAGGAAGACAGAAACCCACAGCAGCCAATCAATGACATGAGGTCAAGAGCCTAAGAACCAGACTTAGAACCCAGGTTTCTCCTAAATTCCAGTTTAGGGCTCTTTTCAGCTTTACAGTCTGATTTTTGGCTTCTTACAAGCCATGCTCGTAATATCTTTAAGACAAAAGAGATCCCAAGAAGATACATACAGTCCTTTGTGTCCCATTTAACAAGACTCAGAAAAGGCCATTCTCTCTTATTAACTGATTTGTCACTTTTACTTTAAAAAGTGAACTACCAAAAGAAAAAAAAAGAATGCATAGGTTAAATACCACATCCAGACTTCTACCTACCACAGAAGGCCCAGACAAAACAAATCCACGAATGGCTACAATAGCAGAGCTCTGAAAGATTGGTGGTAATTGCATCCTTGCCTTAGGAAGCCAAACTGAACCGGGCACGGTGGCCATACCTGGAATCCCAGCACTTGGGAGGCTAAGGCAGGAAGGGTCCCCTGAGTTCCAGGTCAGCCTGGGCTACAGAGCGAAACCCTCTCTCAAACAAACAAATGAAGCAAGCAAACAAACAAACAAAAAAACACCAGCATCACTGACTGCACAGTCAGGGAATAAGGTAAGAAGTCCATTCCTAGGATTAAAGAATATTCCATAGTTTATAGATGATAAAAATCATCATATTATCATATGCTATGCATGTAGGAAAAAGTATTCAAGTGTTATCCTTGGCTTTTAATCTCAAGGTTGAGTGCAGGCATCTGATTTCATTGTTAAGTTTGCAAGTTCATGAATATGGTATTCTTTGCTCTTTTCTAGGAGAGAGCCAATTAGAAGGAACTCGATGCTGTGACCAGAAATTTCCTCTATGTTCTCTCTCAGTGGTTACCCACGTATAAAGGCAGAACCGCACATCCGGTCAGTAAATGCTTTGGTTATTCAGAAAATATCACAGAGATACTCCAGAAAAGGTGATCAATTTCCAGATATGGAGGGGTTAGGTTAAAAGGAGAGAGTTCATAATCACTTACATTATTGATCATAAGATGCATTATTGTTTTTGGAATTAAGTCTCTGATGCATTTGTTGATTATTGACATGTAGGAGTCTACTAGGTTGCGTATAGTCTCCACTTGCCTCTCCAGCTGTGGGTCCATGGAAAAGTTTTCTGCTTGGCCATTTTCATCATTTTCATTCTAACAAAAGAGAAGCAAAATGTGGATTAGCTCATATTCTCTCAGGATCAAAACAATACCAAGCCTCAAATGACTGATTTCTGCTCAGATCTGTCTGAACCTTCCAGTTGTCATTCTTTGAACTCACTATGTTCTGGCAAAAGCAAACATTCTGAATGAACATCAAGACAAATAAGCAAGTAAACAGTGCACCTAACAACATACATCAGGAGAACAACCTCTTCTTAAGCCATTGGTAAGCTGCCCAGAGGCCTGAGTCCAAACAGATGAGGCAGATGTGAGCCTCTGGGAGTAATCTCCGGGGATCCTATAGATTAGAGTAACCTTGATGAAGCTTTGGCACTGCTGCGTTTGCTCTGGATTGGATCAGCCCAGATTCAAACCTCAATCCCCTAGGACTGGCCAGGAGTCCAAATTCGAGATCTGGCAGATAATTCATTCTTTCATGCACTTGCTGGAATCTGCTGTGTAAATTCATGCTTCTGACACCACTGTGGAGGATTGGCTCCATTGTGGAAAACCGCCATTTTAACTTCCAATGTGTTATTCTTTGAATAAAGAAGAGCCCTCCCTTTCATACACAAAGAATTTATTTGTGCAACATGAGCAAAGCATCTGTTTTCTATACTCTACGACTTGAGTTAATTAATTTTGGCTTATCCACCCAGAGGCTGGGCTGGAATGGCATCTTCATCATTAAGAGCTGACCTATTGGCTTGACATTGAAATCAATTTAGAACAAATGGTCTCTATTTCAAGTCAGGTCGACCCATCTAAACCTCAAAACATCATACAGATATTGTTAGTGGTCTGGCTACTTTCTCATATTTGGAAAGATTTAATTATGAATGTAAAGGGGGGCAATAATTTATTGCTTCTAACATTGGCTTGAGGTACTTTCCTTTGGAAATGTATGCACTTTGATCTGCCAGGTTTTCAATCAGCTCCAGGCCAAAGCACTGGGCTAAATAACTGGATCTATAAATGACGAGTCCTTTCTTTGAATCGATATACATGTATGAAAGCCACATTTTTAGGCTACAAAAGCATCAATAATAAAAAATGGATTAAGTATTTCTATATCAGAAGTGTCTCTTTGAAAATGTTAAGATGTCGTATGCTCACTCTAAAAATCAGTGGTCCTTTTCTGCCCTGAGTGTGACCCCATGCTGTGATGTGGGCTAACAGAATAAGGGAATCAAATGCTAAAATACCCCAAATCCTCCAGTCAACAGATGGACAAATGTTGGTGATTCTGCTGTTCTTATTTTAAGTGGTCTTGGGGGAGTCACTGAAAGAATTAAATCTGGTGTAATTGTTTTTTTAATGAGCTTGTGACAAACTGATATTTTAGATGAAAAACATCTAAAACAGTTCTAGTTAAGATCTTATTTAAAATGTGTAACTACTACCACCACCACACACCCCTCTGTTACCTACAGAAGCCCCTTCCCAGAAGCCCTCTCTCCCTAGCTTGGGCAGAGTCCGTTCCTCTAAACTCACTCCTGCACTTGCTTACATTTTCTGCCATTCCTCTTAATTCTGGGCTTTCCCCCCTACTGGAGTCCATAATTGTATTTCTCCACCATTAGAATATATTTCAGTGTTATCAGAGGAAGGAGGAGGTGGTTCAAGCTACAAATGGGTTTACTTAAGTCAATGAAACTCCCCGAATGCACAAAACCTAGACTTTTGTGGAGAGAGAAAAAGTTTTCTATGTAAGCCTCTACAATGATGACAGTACAATCCAGTTTGTTTCTCTGGCCTACAAGATACATGGATTTTGCTATTGTATTTAGCAATGGGTATGATAGCATTTCAGTATCAACATGTTCCCTTTTCCAGCATCTAGTTTCAGCATCCATTGTGTTTTCTATACCATTATAAGCACTTTATATAGCAGAGCTTGCACCTTAGTGCTAGGAGGTGGGCACCAAGCTTATTGTATCCCACAGAGAAGCATGATGGAGCGATGAGCTCTGAAATCCATTCAACTAATGTAAAATGAATATGATTTCAAAAACAGGAAGTATAAAATATATTGCATTAATTCAGTTTTATACATGAAATAATTTAATTTTTTCTTTGAAAATGTCATTAAAATACTGATATTCTCAAGAACCAAATGACTGAGCTAAGAGAGAAAAGCTGAATAAACAAGACACAGTGAACCTCCAGGAGGAAAAAAAGCATTATTTGACTTCCTATAGAAACAAGGAACCTCCCTATTCCACACTATACTTAATTAACATTTAGCCTGGCTTTACATTTGCTTTTGTTCTTTTTGAAATTACAAGCAATATTCAAAGTATCAGAATGAACAACAGACACAGGGTTAGTGAAGAAAACACCCCAGGATAGAGGCATATGCTAGGACTATGAAAAGGATCCAACAGTTCATAGAATGAAGCCAAGAATTGGCAAGTGGGATTGAATGAAATGAAGAATTTCCTGCACAGCAAAGGAAATAACTAACAGCCTATAATCTTTACCAGCTACACATCTGACAAGGGATCAATATCCAGAATCTGTAAAGAACTAAGAAACTCAAATGCCAAAATACCCCAAATCCTCCGGTCAACAAATAAATAAATTAATAAGATACTTCTAAAATAAGTAGCCAAGACATACTTGGAAAAGTTTTCACATCCTTAGCCATCAAAGAAAGGTATACCTACACTGAGATAACAAAAACCAAAACCACAATAAATGCTGGTGAGGGCGGGGCAAAGGATGCTTGCCATTGCTGCTGGGAACAAAAAAATGTGCTCTGCAACATGGAAATCAGAATGGAGTTTCCACAAAAAAAACAAACAAGTTAAACTACCATATCATCCAGCTGTGCCAATCCTGGGGACAGGCCCAAAAGGATATAAGTCAGTGTAACACAGAGATACCTACTCAATCACGTGTCCTGAAGCACTTCTCAGTGTAGGCAAGCTATGGAATCTACCCTTGTGTCTCTCAACAAGTGAATGCATGAAAAAATGTAATATACATACATACATACATACACACACACGTCTTTTATTCTACCATCTGGAAAATAGATGGAATTGGTTACTCTACTAAGTGAATAAACCAGACTCAAACAGACATCACATTCTTTCATGAGGATTTTAGATTTTACACACCCAAAAAAATAGAGAAGGGACTATTGAGTAAGAGGAAGAGAAGTCTGGTAGTCAACATGGCCAAAGCACATGATAAACTTGAAGAAGAATATTGCGGAATCCATTGGCTTGAATGACAAAAATACATGAAGCAAGACAAAAAAAAAAGTCAAGTTCTGAACATAAAGTTAAAGGAATTCCAAAATAGCCAACGGGACAATTTGAAATTCTACTTAGCTTTTGGAAATCGAGTAGACTTGAGGCCTCACACGAATAGTAACTACTCTGGGAATGCAATGGACATATTAGGGAAATCACAGGATCCGGAATGCAAATGGACTTCAATTTTTACACTGGAGCAGGACCTGGCCTTTCTAGTGTGTCTCAGGTGAGTGGGAAAGAGTCTACAGGTAGATTTCTTTTTTAAACTAAGCACTTGAGCAAGCCAACAAAAGCTCCTTTCTTTTACCCCAGACCTCAGCTCAGATCATCTCGCCTCCTTTGCTGTGTTTAAGTTTGTACTTTTTTCTTTGTTTAAATTACAGGATTGCAATTGGATTCTTTGCAGCCGAAGCACTGAAGTGACAGCTGTTGATCATTATCCTCATCAAGGGAATGTAAAATAAAAATAGTAATTTGTCTCTGATCTTTGGGGCAAAAACAGAGAGGTCTGCAAACATTTAACCTTTTATGTGCAGGTTCATTGATGCTGTTTACAAAATGTGAATAATACTGTAGGAACTTTTTTTGTCCCTGAAAAAACACAATGGATACATCTTGCTGCATGTTTTTTTCTAAATAGCTTTTGAGAAATCTAATTAAAGCAATGAAAACAATGTTACAAATATGAAGTTTATAGAGTTTCAATACCTTTCTTATATCTTATAATTTAGTCACATAGTATTAAAGAAACAGACTTTTTCTTACAGAATTTAACTAAATAGATGATTACACATCTTTTTGTATCTTAGGGTCAGTGTGTGAACATCTTTCAGGAGCCCAGCTTGGGCTGTCAGGCTTGGTGGTAAGCACTTTTACCCTGAGACACCTTGGTGGCCCCCAATTTTAGTATAAAAGTTGTAATGTAAACTACTTTAGCAGGTGAGGGAGTGAAAAATTAAATCGTGAAGGCTCAATTATTGAACTCTAAGAGCTTGACTGGAACACCTAGTTTTCATGTCTTTTTTTATTTTCCTTAGGAAAAAATATCTCTAAAATACATCATAGGCATGAGGACCACTGGAATCATCCAGAAAGTAATGCTGAGATCCAACCTTTCAAAAGTGGAATAATGGGTGTTAAAAGTGTATAAGCAGTAATATGTACATAAAAATACCGAGGCCAGGGACTCATTGTCTTTCCTCAGCAGTGGAGAACGCAGGATAATATTGTACAGATTTGTACACATTTTTCCCAGTTAGCCAACAGTTGCCCTCTTTAAAATACTTAATGTGATTATACAGCTCACTACTACTTTAAACTAAGAGCAAGAAAACATATATGATTGGACTTTTCCTTAGTGAACCCAGCCATCATTATGAAAACACTGTTACCATGGAAATGTGCCTTCAGATTTTTCCAGTCCCACATTATTGGAAATGTTTTCACTGAAAACTTTCTCTACTTCCAGTCGTTCCCCTCTAAGTTATGGCTCTAAAGGTATTCAACCACACGTGTTCAAAACAGTCTGTGGACCACAGTCCAGAAAGCCTAGGAGGGTGGTCTAGGTGTCAGTTTGGCAGTGTGACAAGTATCAATGAATATCTAGTGTGTGGCATGGAACTGTGAAAGATATAAAGTATAAAATCAGAGGCCCACACGTGAGTTCCAAGCAGGTAGAACATAAAGAAAAATGTGAACCTGAGTCAAATCTGTGCTCAAGGGGTT